GTAGTGGCCTCCAACCTAGAAGCGATGGGCGAAGGCCTCAAACCTAGACGCAATGGCCTCTAACACCTGCTGTTGATGTCCTTTCAAGCCAAGGTGCGGAGGCTGATGAACCAACGAGGAATGGCATCCTCCCAGAAGGGACAAGGCTTGAAGCACTAGTCAGTAGTGTTGTCGTACTTTACTTCTACAAAGGAGAGAAGATCAGATTCCTCTGGCTGGTAGGTCCAGGCATCGGCATAACCAATGAGATCAACCTTGGATTCAATCTGTGAGCATGCATCAACAGCCCATGGCACTTGAGGCCAAGGCAGCAATGATGCTGAAGAATAGCCTACACAAACAGTTGCGTGGAGTCGATGCACTTTGAATGAGGAATGAACAGTCATCACCTCCCAAGAAAAACAAAGTCAATGTGTTCAACCAATATTGAATTCAAAGGAAGCTGAAGGGTAGATTGCTGTACCAGCCAGCAAGGTGCATGCATTATCTTGCATGTGTCCTGGTTTCCTAAGTGACTGTACATGACTGTACTAACTGTCCACACAATTGAGGCTCGCCCTGTTGTTCACCCGCAGTGCGTACACTGATGTGGCCAATAGCAGGCAAGACCAGAATAGTGTTCCCGCTGATGCAAACCTCAACTTCGACTTCATGGAATGTCGAGATCTGTAGGCGCCTTTGTCTGAAAACTTGATCTTCAGTCTCTGCGTCTCTCAGTAAAGGTCATCTGTCCACGACGATCATGAAAGTTACTGAACCACAAGCCATCAATTGCAGCTCCACATCTCAGGCCCGTGCAGGCCAGAAAGAAGTAGCCAAATGACTTTGAAGCCCTGTGCCGGCTCGCGTATTCTGCAGCAATGGCAATCCGAAGGTTGGGATGTTTGCAATTTGTGGACTTCGATGGACTTTATCATGAGCAGCTGCAGGACACGCTTCTAGTGACGAGTGTCATTGGCTCAAGTTACACTTGCTCGACATTAGGGTCTGCTGTGTCCGCACATCGACATCAAAACGATCGACACATCTCAGTCAAGTTTCCCTAAAAATCTAGGAACCAAATCATTTGTGGGAGCGCTTCTCAAGGAAGCGTGAGCTATCCTGCGTCCAGTAGCTAGGAGCGAACTAGTCTCCCGGCCCTTACTTAATTTATATAATTAAGTAGGGAGCTCGGGCTAAAAACACTTTTTGCGGAAAAAATTGCGCCAGGCCTTGACATTCTTGATCGTGTGGATGGCCTTGCCAAATCTGAGCAACCTGCCGGGTCAAAGTTCGACATCGTCATCAAAAAAGAAAATGCCAAAATGGATTGGACGGACAATGACGCGGACAATGACGGACATAGTATTGGAGCAGAATGGAGCCAGAAATCCAGAACGTGCAATCCCCCGCCATTGCCTGAGAACTATTCGAACCTGGGTTCAGGTGAGATGTGAAATCGCATGTTGTTGCCACCTGCTTGCTGACTACAAGCAGATCGGTTGTAGCTCTATTTCTTTGCAAACACAAATATGCCAGAGCTCCAAAGTATGTTGTTGGACACCCTTGCCACAAGAGATGCTCCCACTCTGTGGCGCCGAACTATTTCTACTGTGTCACCGAAGGCGGAGAGAAAGAATGGCGCCCATGCCTGAGCAGAGGAAAACCAAAAAAGAGCCCTTGGGCAAGTGCTTGGAATGCTGAACCCGTGCCCTCTGTCTATTTCTGCTCTACATCTCGACTTACTTCACAGGTTTCAGGAAGCCCCACTGCAAAAGTGAAGCCAATGTTCAGCGTCTCCTGCCCAAGGGGACTAAGCCAAGCCTCAAAACCGTACCACTTAAATTGACAGCTTCGGATGCTACCAGATGCTACCAGCTCAAGTCCTTCAGCCAGAGGCCGCCACCCACAATAAAACGAAGAACCTGGCAGGCTGAAGATCTCAAGCCCCTTGGGAAAAGGAGGGGCGGCATGGAAGAGATCACCTGTGGCATTGCGGATGAATCATGGCAAGCTGCACCCATTCTCCCAGGAACAAGCAATTCACAATCCACATGATGGGATCAATCCACCTGAAGTCCGGCATCCAAGTCTTCTTAATCAATCATTGCGCAACACCTTTCATCATGCTTCCCAAGGTTGGCTTTAAAGAGTTGAACAAAATATGCTGTGATGATCTGTGATGATCTGTGATGTAAATCTGCAATCGTGCTAGCGCGTCACATCATTTTGTCCCCTAATGTGATCCTGGTCGCAAGTCTCGACACCCTATCCACATGGAGGCCTTCTGAGTGTATACGGAGATTTCCCATAGACTTATCTGCATGCTGTGACTCGGTGTTGGACGCTGGTTTGGGTGTGCCACTATTGGGATTCCAAAGCTCTGCCTGGCAGACTTCGAATGCCAGTCCAGACTTGGCATTGAGAAGAAATCTGGCTTGCAAAGTGTCAGCTGCAAATCCACCTTGTTTGATATTCGCACCATCTACACCTGAAAACCTCTACAGTATCAACTGTGAAAAGGCAGGCTAGGCTCAAGCATCATCCGAAACACCATCATGCCTCCACCCCCATGATGATGGCACTGGCCAGGATAACCATCGTAGTCTGGCAAGTCAGCGTCGCAAGCCAAAGCCACAATTGAAAAACGTTCAAAACTCGGAGCTTGCAAACAAAGACGTGGAGGCTCAGCACCAGACGAACAGGTCAAAGTACTTGTTCTTCACGATCGGCCGCAAGATCTTCCGAAGCCTTGTGCATGGGAATCTTCTTGGTTCTCAGTCATTTTATCAATGCCGCGCCTTCGAAAGGTCCTGTTGTAGCAGGTGTTGTAGCAAGGCCGAAGCCATCGTGGAACGTGCAGGCTCTTCCTGCCAAGCCGGAAGAATAACGACTTTGGATCATTTGCCTGACCCGAATCTGCCTCGCAATGGTACCCGCCGAAACATCGTTGGTGTGAGGGGCTTAAGAAGCGGAGGCTTCCCCTGTTTTGAGATGCGCCCCTCAGATCCAGTTGGTATATCTGGATTGCGTTCTCAGTCCTGCTCTTGGGCTCCTGCGCACAGATTCGATAGTGAAGGAACTTGGGAAGGTGCTCGCAAGTTGTGGTCAGTGGGTACATGAATGAGGATGAAAGCCAAATTCTACAAAGATTCGCTTTTGGGTAGTTGACGGAATTATGCGGAATTCAATTGTAGCTACCACACTTTTCAGCGAAGCAAAGAAGCAAAGATCGTCTCCTTGAGATCATAACCTCAGGTAGAGCCACATGACTCATAAAGAGAGCGATTGTTGGACACCAGTCTAGAGGTAGAGGTTAGTCCAGTTTCCCACAGTACAGAACTGACTCTTGTCATACATCATACCATCCCATACATTCTGGCACGTACAACTTTGGGATGGGAGCAAAGTCGATACAGAGAAGGTGAGTGTTGGAAAAGTACTGCAGTGTATAGGACACAGTGTGTTATTACTTGCAGCATGTTGCAGCTAAAAGGCCTATTGCGTCCTCCAGTGCATCTGCAATGGCCTTACAGCATTGCTATGCTCCAAACAAGCAACAATTTATCACAGTAGCTGTGTTGCAAACCCACAGACAAAGCTCTTGAGACACTCAAGCATAAAAGCCTGGTCTTCAGCATCGGCTTTGGCCTCTGCCTGAGTCATGCAATCAATCACGAAACGTGCCCTATATACATGGTGCTTCAGTGCAATGGCTCCTACTCAATCGAAGAAGACCTAATAGCTAGTTGACCAACAATTGCTTTGTTGTTTAGCATACTGTAAATATATATATATATAATACGACTACAAACATATATATATATATATGTGCGTTTTAATACTACTACATTACATGGAGAACAAATCAGCATAATTCCTTCGCCGGCACCATGCCTCTTGCAGGCGGGATTTCCTTGCCGCTTGTGCCACCGTCAGCATGCTATAAACACGGCTACACGTGTTCTTGTGTTTCTTGTGTAGGGACCCAAGCATATCATCTAGCACAACACATGCGAGGTAAGGAGTACTTGACAGCAACGTTTGGCACTTCAATTCTTGCAGCCGAGCGGAATGCCCCTTTATGCCATTTGCTTCTGAACTTCTACGCTCCATCCATACACGAGTGGCTACACCAAGATAGGTGGCTTCAGGACCACATTATGGCTGAAAAGTACTCTGGATATTGAAATTTCTCAGGAACATAGCACAGCGTTAGACGCTGCTCCTATTCAATTCCAGTTCAGCATTCTCTGTCAAAAGGATTCACTCCTTTGTTCCTCTGCGCGCACAGTGATGCGTTTCGCCTGCAGCTGCAAAAAGGCACCCGGCCACAAATTTCAACACGGGCACCTTTAAACCATAGAAGTAACCTGTCCTGCTGCCTGCTTCATGGCAACAATACACAGGAACGGGTCGGCATTTCCTGATACTATTTTGACCCTGCACCAAATGCCCTGCCTTTTCACTGTCCATGGTACCCATGCCGGGTACCCGGTGAAAGCGAGGCTGAAAATTCTCACAATAGAACGTAGAACTTGGCTTGGAAGAGGTGTTAGAGAATGCATTCTTGATGCAACCATACATATGTCAAAGCTAGATTAAAATGGTTCAAACGCGCAGATAATTTGCTTGGATGCACCAATCTACTGCTAGCTAAGATGTCTGCAGCAAAGGTGAGGCATGCAACCGGACGCTGCAAAGCTATCCGAACTGATCGGTGACTCTTTCGAACTGTCGCTGGAAGGACACTCACTAACTTACTTTGATCTGCGCATAAGTGGGCGTGTAGCTTCTGCAAACAACTATTACTCAAAACGTTGACCAATTAAATGGTCGCAAAGCTTTGCTGGGAAAACAAAGGAATCCAGGATCTCAAAACACCAAAACGGCAAGGGCACCAGCTGACAGGTGCCGACTGTATGAAGCTCTCCTGGCCAGCGGAGGACACCATGATCGCGAGTTGAACATTTTCGAGTGAGACTCGCTGACCCTTAAAGTCTCCATCACGTCTCCATTCGCTACCCAAACCGAGTACTCTCCTTACTTCCTCGCTTTCGACTCCAAGCCAAATCTTCTGGCAGCCCATACCCTGTCACTCCTTTTTTCCTACTCTTTTTTGTCACTTTTGTCTTGGCTCGCGGTCGTCTTGGGCCCTCTGCCCTTGCTGCACTCACTTCATTCGGCCCATCTCGACCTGTCTGGAGCATCTCCTCTAGGCGCTTTCGGCGCTCGGTGCGAGGGAAAAAACTCCAAGCCACGACCCACTTGACATTACGGCCCTGTTGCAGCTCGAAGCGGCGACGTTTTGCGCCCAGCTCCCCCAAGCGCTCAAAGATGGGCTGCAAGGAGGAGTGCCTGACAGGACATGTGCATTGAACCAAACTGTGCACGCGTAGTATTACGATGTCATACAAGCATGTGTATACATATATATATATATAAGCAAATGAGAATACGTCCTATCGTTCCAGCCTCAGTAGGTGAAAAATTAACAGATTTTTAACCGTCGTATAATTAGCGATGCCGATGCCTAGAGAAAAAATTGTAAAGATTGTCCGTCAATAAATTCATATATTATAAAGCCTTGTAAACCCATTGATGATAGGTCTAAAAACTACAGCTATAGTTCTAGTGTTAACTGGCGTAACAAGTTTGAATGTAGGATACAAAAAAATATACGATTTGGATTTCAGATTTGTGTCGATCTTTGACTGTTAATATATAGGAAATCAACACTACAATCCAAATAGAAGAGGGGAGTCTATTGACTGATATGAGTGTGCGCTTGAAAGACAGTAAAATAAGAATGAGGGAGCAATTTCATAAGAGATCACCTCCAAAATCTATAAATACCCTGCCTGACGACCACCTGGGAAGGGAGGGGACGAAAGCCAGCCCTCGTAGACAGTGAGAAGAACAAGAAGGAATTGGTGTTCGTCAGCAAGATCATGGTGTCTGCAATTGGAAATTGTTGTGATATCTGATAGTGCGAAGTTCAAAAATCTGCATTCCTGGTAGACTGTCTTACAGGCAGAGCAAGCATAATCTTTCAACGTATGTTCTTTACAGCTGCTTGGGAAGACCCGGCTAGATCCCAAAACATAGCCCTCCGTTTCTGGTGCCTTGTTTTCTTCCCCAAGCCTTCGATAACGTCTCTTGAAAGGCTTAGATGGTGTTGTATGTCCACTTGCATGGTATCGTGGTGCCTTGGTGAGGCAAAAAGTGCAATATTGCACCTGTTTTGGCATCGTTCGCATCACCAAGGCCCTTACAGAGGTGCATTGTGGCCACCCCCTTTTGCTCACTCTCCCTCAGGCTCTGGGTTCACCCTACTGCCAGCGCCCACCACGCGACCACCCCCTACACACCCCATAATACTCACTTCGTTCGCCCATCGAGCACAGCCTAACCTATCGCCTGGCCTTCGTAAAAATATATTAATGGGGTTTGAGGGATTGCTTGGTCTCACTTGGCATGATTTTTCTAGGCTATATTCAAGTTATGTTGATAAGAGAAAACAATGCCCATAAGATAAGAAATACTACAAATTGTGTGATGAAGAGAAAACCAAAGGAAAGAAATTAGCCATCATAAATCATAGCCCTTATAATCACCTCTGTCCGTTATCGTTCACCTCTAGATCTAGGATGTGATTGTAAGGATTAAAACCATAAATTTACATTATTCACGTCTGTCCATTTGATTGTTTTTTTATGTTTTTTTGGGTGTCATCAGCTTATTTGTAGTTTGCTGTTAATCATTGAACAATAAGTTCATTTCATTTTAGGTCCACCATTGTCATATGTGATTAATGAGAGATTCATTAATAAGCTATTTATTAAACAGAAAACGACGTTATGCGGGTGTGGTTTTTACGCGTGGTTTTACGCGTTTTTGTGATTTGTGGTTTTCTGTGTTTTTTTGAAAATGTTAGTTGTTTTGAAGAACGTGTCTAGCAAAAATGTCGACTTGTAATCTATCAAATTTCTCATCAATCTGATTCAAACATACTAGTTCTCATTGATTCCCACACAGAAGTCCATCAAGCATCATCTATCAGCAAGTCCACGACATCCCATCATACAACATCAGGACATCACCTCTATGAGGGAGATCTGGTCTCTAAGACCTCCAATCTCAATCAGTCCTCAATCTCCAGCAACTGGGGCCTGGGCCTGGGCTTCTCTAGGGG